CAAATCTCGAAATTATAGTAAAACAGTTTGTCCATGACAATATTCCAAACCTACGGTACGCAATATTTTAGTCAATTCATTGTTACTATTTTTAATTTTTAATAAACTTATGGCATATACTTTATTTGTAAAGTTTATTTTGAGGGCTCTAGTTTGGGCGGCAACCAACGTTACCATATTCTCCGTCGTTTCGCACTGCTCATCTAGTAAAAAAAAAAAAAAAAAAACTTGTATGCGCAAGAGTTTATTTTTTATTGGTAGAACTAGGTCGTGATCAGCTATTCTAACGATCCGACTAATATTGTTCGGGAAAGAATGTACTGTAGATGGAAAGAAAAAAAAGGAAAAGGTTTGGATTTTTAAGAGAATCCAGTTGTAAATCAGACATACTTGCAAACCAGAAGTCGCCTATGGTGCATCAGTGACATCAGGATAGTCTTTGTAGACGCGCGTGTATAAACAATCATAGGGTCATCAGAATGCACAGAAAAAAATGCTTGCTTTTCGTGGTTGTCGTTTAGAAGAAATTGCATGCGTGCTGCGATGTACATGCGGAAAAAGTTTGTGGTAAGTCAAACAAGGAAAAACAAATAATTTTCCTTTTCCGTTCATGCATTGGAGGCGCATCCGAAAGGCAAGAAGCACAAAGTTTTTGATGCGACGTTGATGAAGCTGCTCCTCACGAAAGTGTTCCTCGCACAGGATCTTGTTGCATTACAATAATGAAAATTCATGGAATTTCATTGGTCAATGCATGTGGATAAAGAAGAAATCAAGATTTTCGACGAACCAATTATTTATATGCACGACCAACAGGTTGGACACAACAAACAAAAGAAGATGATCAACAACAGAGATCTGCAAAATTCCGTTTTCACAAATGCGCATATGTACTATCGAGATCAATTAACGTACGGGACTTAAGCATGACATTCGATTCCACGCGGTCGAATTATGGACAGGATGGTCTTTTTTTTCTTTTTTCTTTTTTTTCAAGTGTCATTGAGCTGACTGATTTCGCAAGTTTTTGGCAACTCATGCGGTAACACGATGCGTCAACCGAAACTTTAAAACTTTCGTGTCGCGAAATAGCGTACGGAGAATTGCCGTCTCTTTCAAAGAACGGGCATGACATCATCGTCGTCTTACAACATGAAACTTTTAGTAACGAAGGATATCTCCTAAATTTTAATATTTCTTAAATTATACATATTTTTAATATTTCTTAAATTATACATATCGACAAGCAAAACCTCAGCCAGAATCTGTGAACCTGTTTGTTGAAGATTCATTTCATTGGTTGTGGTAGTTATTCATGACCGAATCGAAGTTACATTTGTGTTTAAGGGCATGGAAGTGTAGTGAATAAATAAATAAGCAAATAAGTAAATAATGGAATTTTTAATATCACGGGGGGACGTTTGCGCGGATTTGAATAAATAAATTTTGATTGTGGATCTTAATAAATAGGCTCATATGACCAATGATGGTTAAAATGAAAGATACGAGCATTGGTCAGAGATTGAGAGATCCGAAATAATCACGATTTGTGTCGGCTCGAGTTGCGACATAAGGAGAATTATTATTGTTTTTTTTTTGTTGTTGTTGTTTGGAAATGTGTCTCACTCGTGTGAACATTTTAAATTTTCTTCCAAAATCTTTTTTTGGACCATAAATACACATGACCATATATGGATGATAATAAGTGACGCGTTGGAACGAGGGTAGGTTCCCGGGGCGATGTAACAGAGGGAAAATTTTAATTCTTCTTCATTTTGATTCTAACTGGTGACGCGCGTCTTTGAGAACAACAGTATATGGGTTAAATTTTGATGCTTGAAGAGTAGAACCAACAAAGAACGGATAGGAGAATTGTTGATGGTTTTAAAATATCACGGCAGTAATGAAAATGAGAGAATCAATTGGCATAAATATGGTCATGAAGGAATTCGTCAAAGCAATTTTTATTGGATTCACCGCATAAGTTCCGAGGGAACATACAGTAAATGCGTCATCGTCACTTCTTATTTTAATATGATCTTCTAAAAAATATATGTATACATATATATACAGTATATATCAAAAAAAAAGAAAAGAAAAGAAAAAAGAGAACCCGTACAGCGCATTCTCAATGACTTTCAAAACGCGTGGTTGATAACATACAGCATATGTACATACTAGCAAGAGGTTGGTGTAATAGTCGTGCATAATTTTTTTATTTTTAAATTTGCGGGATTTCCCAAATGGGTGATCATAATAACGTAACCCATATAAATCTGCTTTACACACCAAAGTTTTGGCATACAAATTTGGTAGTCCGTTACACTACTTGTCGTTTTTTACATAAAAATAATAACCATATAGCCCACACCTTCCAGATTTCAATACGGGAATCTCCAACTTTTAATCATTGCGAGAAAACATAGGGTTTTTTTTTTCTCATAATAATCGTATGTAAGTAAAAAAAAAAATGCCAAAATTAGCGTCATCACTGAAGAATTTCAAGAAGTACGGCCGTTCACAAGGAACGGAAATGAAATACAACGCTATGATTTCCACTAAAGAATATATGAAAAAGGCTTTGGTCCCGCCACCAAAGCTTACACTACCTTTTCCTCCTCAAATAAATGCCGAGGACTTGATCGATACCAAGACACGCAAATTACCTTCCAAGCCACCTAACGCTTTCTTTATATACCGAAAGGTATATACCAAAGAATTGGTCGCTCAGAATTTCCGATTCAAGATGACAGACGTAAGTCCATTAGTATCGACTTCTTGGAAGTTGGAATCGGACGAGGTAAAGACGAAGTACAAAGAGATTGCGCGAGACGTGCGTCAAATTTACAAGAAAAAGAAGAATTCCATTGAAGAAGTGGAAGATTCGTCCGACGATGCAACGTCTAAAAATGATGATTTGCCGAAAACCAATCCAAAAAAATCAACCGCCGATTCTTTCTCCTCATCCTCAAATCAAAAGAAACAAACGGAAACCGTGTCTCCCCTAGTCTCGGAAGGATTATTATCAACCCCAGATATACCCAAAGAAGATGGATTATTTGAACAATGGGCTCACACAGATTTTACCGACTCCAACTTTTTGCCCCACCAAAGTTTCATTGAATTTGAGGGCAACAGTAACAGTGAAAATGCCGCTTGGCAATCAAACAGTTCTCATGGAACCGAACCATTTCCAGTATACCCGGATTATGCTAATTACTCATTCGCATACCATCATCAAATTGATCAACTTTTTGCGGAACCATGGGCACATGAATGGAGCTTGCTTCTTGATCTCAGTATCCCCAATGTTGACAATAATCAATTTTGAGAAGCCGATTCGTCTTTTCATTTGTTAAAAAAAAAAAATCTTTTGGAAGTTTACTACTTCCTCGTTGTCTTGTAAAAAAAAAAAAAAATTAATTCTTTATAATGTATGGAAAATAATTATGTATTCAAATACTACCGCTATATATTTCTTTCTTTAAAAATCGGAATGTAATTTCTTTCTTTCTTTCTTTTTTTTAATATACAATATAAAATAAAATATAAACAAGAATCTTTACGCTAATAAGCACGATGCGGTAAATTGCGAATGCGGAAATGATGGTGTATGCGTGAATTTCTTGAGAGATTAATTTTTTGATTGCGACAGTAGAACGAGCGTGTCATCAAAATAGTTGTGCAGACGAATGATTATGTAAACGCTTTCTGGGAAGAATCCGTCCCTTTTTTTCCTTTCCTTTCTTTTTCTTTTTCGTTAATTTCCATTATTACCATAAATTTTTTCGAGGTCGAAGTTCCAAATATATACTTCCGAAACCTCGAGGTACTTATTTACATGCGTACCATAATTCTTCCTTTTTGTCAACTTATCTGTTAATCATGTCGCCTACAGATTAAGGTTTGAAAGTGTCGCCATAAAAGAACAGATGCACGCTATACGGCATTGCGATTCGCGCGAACCAACATCATATTGCTAGACAAAAAAGGAAATATTGCGTAACAAACGATGTGCGTACGTGCATACTGTATGTTCCGTTTGTGCAACGTGTGTGCCCCGTTAGTCCGACAGCAAATAATGGTGACGGCTTTCTCCTATATTCCCAATTGGTACAGTGACAAATGTGACAAACTTTGAAGATCCTATTTTGGATGACGCAAGAATAGGCAACGTAGACTTCAATTTACTGTGCATCTTCTTTAACCATTTATGTACATATAAAGACCAAAAAACAATAGAAACGAGTATAATTAAAATAAGTAAAAGGAATTAACGTTTAATTTTGTTAAAGAAATTACCCATCACAACTTTGCCGAAAACTTATCTAAAGAATATACCGAATCACAGTACCGACGAATTTTTTACTTATTAATTTGCATGTAATTTGCGTATCATTATTTTTTGTTGGTTTTTTTAAGAAAAAAAAAATCAACAATAAAAATCAAATCATAAAATAGTAATATCAACTTTTTTATACTGTATATACAGTATATACAATGTACAATACTTAAATGCGTCTTGTGAATTTTAAACATAAACATAATCTAAGAATGATATTTTAGTTAGAATAGAATTCAAGCACCAAGTTCATGCACTAATTTATTATATGGTATAAAAAAAAAAAAGGGTTTAAATTATTTATATGCATTTTTATATAAATTCAAATATTAATGTATATACTATATATATGAACATGATGTTAAAAATGATGGATTAGGTCTGATTCACTTAATAATTTGTAGGTTTGATTCACTTAATAATTTGTTAATCAATAGGATGTATGATATATATATATTCAAATATATATGTTGTATATTATATATTATCTTAAATCAAATTTTTCTACAATATTAATTAATTCATCTTAATCAAATATCTTTGAATCTAATTATGAAACCAATATAATACTTTATCAAAACTTTAAATAAAAATTTCTGATACTTTATTATATGTACTATATTATTATTATTTTTTTTTTTAACCCGCAGTCAGGTCAATATGGCTTGTCCATTTTATTGTAAAAATATTTGGTATTTACATATTTT